ATCAAATGAAAACAGAACAGAAAAACGCGGACAAGGAATCAGTTCATTTGCACAAATAACTCTGTCAGGATCTAGAAAAGGCTCGTTGAGGTTCAACGGAGATGGACTTCTTTTGTATCTCCGTTCCTTACCCTCTTTATTCCTGTCCCTTTTCCCTTCCGAATTGTTTCTGAAAGATGCCTAATGACACCAGCACCTGCAGTTACAAACGAAGCAACACTGGATATTACCGTGAAGTATTTGTTTGTTTTTTTTCCGGTGAATTAAAAACAATCGATACTTCATTATATGCGCCTGCATTTCGTAATTAAGCTGAGTAACCATTGCGGTCTAAACAAAAATTTTAAAATCGCCATACGCAGGCCTATCGGATACTTCTCGTCCATTCCACGTAATTTTTTTTTAAAAACCCAAAACTGCGTACAGCCAAAATATGTAATTAATTTCGAAACTGGAGTAATATTTCCCCGCGGTATTGGTATTTTCGTCGAGAGCACAGCTGAGTCTAGAACCATTTTCCATTAGAACCGAATGAATGCATTCCAGCTGAGCTGTATCACGCAGCACTCGAACCGAAGTTTGCAACAATCAGTAGTATATTTTGACTGTGATGAAATGTTCTGAAAACCTAGGGCTTAAATCATACTTCAACCGATATTTATATAAAATTAAGAACAACACTGCTGAGAAATGTATATTGTGAAAGGCCTACAGAAAACGGATAGAAGTATCTGAATTATCCGTTTGCAATTGTTCAGCATATTGTATTTCAAACAACGTTCGTTTTTCAGTGAATACTGATTGAAAAACCTTTGATATTTTAGACTGGAGAATCTAAGAAAAAATTATGAAAATATATAAACAAAATGTTTTTTTTATAGTTCCGATTACTTAATTTAATGCAAAATATAATAAATATTTGGTACGCAAGGTACACCAGTCCTGCCTGTAAAAAGAAATTCATTCTGTAAAAAAATTACTCCACGTAATTTCAAAACGAATTTAGATTTGCATTTAGGTTGCATTCCCACAGATAATTTTGTACACACAGCAAACCCAACTCATTAATTCGCATACAGGTACAGGCCACAATTATGCGTTATCCTGTTCTTTATAAATATCCCGATTTTAATTAATTACTGACTTATTCGTGCTTGTAGCTCAGAGCATTGGTGAGGAACGAGAGGATGACTGACGAATAACGAACTGGAAAGGATACGAGAGGAAGCGGTCGAGGCCGAATTTACTCTTCGCCATTACAAAGATGAACTAGTCAACGCTCTTTACGAAGACAAGGAGGCAGTCGATGCTTGCAGTGAGAATCACACGAAATCCATAAATACAAAATGAAGACTTAATAATTGTTGAAGCAGGTGATATATATAGTTACCACTGGCCTTTAACCCTTCAACGTGGGAATTTAAATTCCGCGCTGCTTGACGAGGAGTGGTGGCCATTTAAATTTTGCTCTAAAACACTTTATTTATCATAACGTTTGAACTATATAACATATAATGATCAATTCTTCACTGAAATCCTCTTAAAAGATGGTTTTATAATTTCAGCGTATAATATGAACATCCTGTGTGTGACAAATGCTAGTAGTCGATTAGACGTTGAGAGTTGTATGTTTTTTATTGAAACGTCAGCAAAAGTCAACTCTACCAAAATACATAGTTTTTATCTTTTTCTAGCGGTTCCTGCACATGACGCAATGTCTTTGAGGCATTGAATTTCTTTCCTGTGTCAATAATACGCGGGAGTAAATATGTCTGCGCCAGCTGATATTCTGACAGCGAACTGAAGGCCACATATATGCATCATACTTAGCAGTTATAACCGTCTCTTTCTAAGCACTCTTCTGATTATAGACTTCTGAGTATAGGGGTGCTAAAATTGTTGATATTTGAAGACACAGATAAACATAACGGTATATCTATATATATATATTATGGAGCCCCTTGACCGTTTCAGATAATTTTTTTTCCTCTCTACTTCGCTGGAGCAGTTATCGTGTCATATGAGACTGAGAGAATGAGTTATCTTACCTCTACAAACAAACAGCTCAGTGTTCTTTGGAAGATTGTGTAACCTCTTAGGTCACGCATTTATTCACAGACTAGCCTTTAGAGATCGAAGAATGTGACGTTGCCAATACATGATCAGAAAGAGCATTTCTTCCACACCAGATCAACTACAAACATCATATATCAGTCGTTATTGTTTCCATAATTATGGGCTTTTGAAATTAGGCTTAACAGCAGACCGGGAATTTAAATGCCAGGGCGTCACAAGACGTCCAACCACGGTGAAGGGTTAAAGGCTTAAACATTCGATCTGATTATCAAACTATATTTATGGTTATAATAGTCTAAAGTACTATAATGACATGCTGCCAGTCCTACATATATTCATAACAAGGTACACGACGTGGATTGTTCCTTGACAACCTGACTAGCAAATAATTCCCAGCTGCAGAAGAAACGTGTTACTTTGTATCTAATGTGACTTACACTTTAATTAAATTTCCGAAGAGATTCTTCTTAACTTTCTCAAACTAATTTTAACTTTATTTCGAATCGATTAGGCCTATGGCTTCGAAAAATATGGGACGACAACAGAACATGCTCTGGCTGAAAGCCACGCAACCTTAAGAGAACTGAAAGAAACACTTAAATAGGATGGACAGTATAAAAAGATCTATTAATATTTTAAACGTCTATGATTACTCACGAAGATGTATTTAAAAGCTGATAACTTAACTACTACCACTAACTAATAATGATACATTAAAGTTGTTTAACTACTTCAAGGCCAATTTAAGAGATTCAAAACAATTTTTGTTTCCAGGACCCTTGTAATATAAGATCTTAGGCTGCAGTTTATTTAGCGCATATGTAAATCTGATTTTGGGAAATGATCATGAATGAACGTACATATGAATTTGTGACGGACAATAGTGGCCAGTTTTGTAGTATTATCACGGTGTTTTCCAGGAAAAACAGTCATGAAAAACCTCGGTCAGTATAGGGTGTGGAAAAACAGAGATTCGAACTCAAATCTACAACGTTCACATATCTAATATTAAAGTAAAGTAAAGTTTGTCCCACTATACGCCATGTAGGCGTTTGGGGGGAGTGGAGGTATAGCTCCTCTCTTCCTTGACCCCGGCACTAGATGGGGGTGAGTGGTCAGCATCACGCCCCGGCCGGCTTTACCCCCGGGAAAGGACCCCGGTACCCATTGTAGAGGAGGCTGGGTGGGCCCCAGAGCCGGTCTGGACGCAGAGGCTAGAGGAAAAATCCTCTGCCCCCGTCGGGGATCGAACCCCGGCCGTCCAGCCCGTAGCCAGTCACTATACTGACTGAGCTATCCCGGCTCATACCTATCTAATATTAGCGTTTGAAATATTAAGTTCCTGTCAGTGATCCTTTCGTAAAAGAATATTTAAAAAATAAACAATCTGGCATAGAACAGAGCAGAAGCAGACCTAGAAGTCAAAACAATGTAGTATTCAGAAGCTATGACGTAGGCCATTTCATCAGCATGACAATACTGAGTACGCAAATGGATTACTGGCTCCAGCGGTAACAAACACATGTCTGCCAAAATAACCTGTAAACCAAAACGGATTTGTTCATAAAGAACTCCTGCTGATTCTTCATGTTAACGGGAGACCCTCCCTTGCTGTGTGTTGCAAATAACAGCGACCGCACAAACACACTGACGGCTGGTGGGATAGAACCACTGCAGTGTCAGCTCCTATAACAATTATTACCACGAACTGATGGGACGCTTTTAAAACAGATAACCACAGACTTTTCTTTGATCACCGTAACAACCAGTAGGCTAGCCCCACCCACCCTATTCCATTCCATTCCATAACCCGAGCGATGTTTGTGTTCCATCAACTAGAGGCCACATCCATACGCTGTACTTTGTTTGAAGCTCGTTTGAAAATTCTTTTATTACGTGCCGACAGATCAAAACTGAAGCAATAACATGAATCGGCTGATGAGAAGACCTGTCATTTCGAGCTGCTTTTCTACTCCGTATGCTGTACACAGAACACACGCACGTTGCCCGTTTTCGAGGACGTTAAAATTGACAATATTCAACGTTAATAAAGTCTTCTCGGGCTATCAGCCGTGTTAGTTAGCTCTACGAGTCATACAGTCAACAGCCTTGAAAATGAGGACAGAGATAGTCCTCGAAACGTCGGTGATTGATCACCAACTAACATGGCTGATAGCCCGAGAAGACTTTGCCGTGAAATCTTCACATTAATATTCAACGTGTTTAAACAAAGAATGTAGATACCAATGTTTCATAAGGGCAAACTGCCTGCATCTTCAGCCGTGAATTCCAGGTGGCGTTAGAACCCATAATACCAACATCGATATATTCGTCGCCGTGAAAACCTCGTATCAGGCCACTGGGATTCTGGTCCAGGGGTTGTGATCTACTCACCTCTTCGCCTTTGGTGTCTCTGTATCGCACCCACTTTCCTAGACGCGGGCGCCAGTATTCTAGCAAGTAAGCCTCGGCGAATTCAACACCCTGGCCGTTGCCGAACCTGCCTTGTGTCTCTGTGGCTGTGATAACGTGTACGGAGTGAAGGTCGATCTCCAGCCATTCCTTCGGCTCCGTTGTGATTTGATTCTTGGGGCACCATGCTCCCCCATGACTCTCCGTCCGCAGACTAGAACAAAAGAAGAACTCAATTCAGAATTTACAATTCTTTATTACTGCTTTCACCTCCAGGGCCGAAGCCCTGATGACGGAGGCAGTATGACCTCCGAAACGTTGGTAAACATCGACCAGGCTACACAGCGCAACAACCCAGAAGACGGAAATCTTCATACTCATCGCCCTGATGACGGAGGCAGTACGACCTCCGAAACGTTGGTAAACATCGACCAGACTACACAGCGCAACAACCCAGAAGAGAGAAATCTTCAACTGTAGAACTGTTTACAAGTTCTCTCATACTAAACTCAGCTTATTTGCATCAAACTACGGTGTTCTATAAAACAAAATTAAAGTGCAATTTAACTGTGAAATGCAGATGTGAGTTGGAAGTCTGTAGCAATGATATGATGGCTCGTCCTCTCCTTATTCTGGTCACGAAGATAGACCGCAAATTGCCTGTTCCGACCCCAATACAGACTTTGGCATTTCTCCTGGTCCTCGTACTACGATAGATTGATATTCTAGGAATATTTTTGGGTATCCATACGTTTTACAACATTCTAACACGATTTTCCCAGTTGTTATAATGCTGTTTTAATTTCTTTGGATTCGGTTCCCGTCCAGTTTCTCTGTGGTCTAATAAACTTCATCCTTCTCTCTTCGATCTCTTTATAAATCCACTTGTTTCACAGTCCAGAATTCACGGCCACGTAAATGTTACACGATGTCTAAAATATTAAATAATTTAATATAATAATGTTAAAAGATGTTCATGATGTAAATGTATTATCTCTTTCAGGCTGTTTAAAAGTTTTAAATGGACGAAACCAAAGTATACCTACAATTATTCAAGAAACTAAGCAGAAGTTTTCAAGAACTCCTTCGGGAATATTCAAAACACAATCCCATTTTAATTTGGCGCACAATTCCTGTACTTCTATAATGCATCTGGGATATTAATAGTTGCCATTTTAATTTCAACAGGCTCATCTTTGAGTTCTGCAACGCAATACTAGAGGCCCCTTTAGGGCCAGTAGTAGGCTGTTTTAGAACCAACTCTTTCGCCGCATAAACTTAATTGAAAAAGTTTCTGGACTTCACCTCGGGAGTTTCGGTTATGAAATTTGTTAACACGTCCAGACAACAAGAGTGGAAGGTCTGTCCAACACGTCGTTTTGTCTGAGGTTCTTTAAATGAATATTACATCAATCCCGAGGCAGGGTAATAATTACAATGCTTGATGATGGAGAGATAGCTTCTAAAAGTATAAAAATTCATACCTAAGGTAGCTAGCTAGCACGTCTCCAGACATCATGCAATATTGCCTCGTGTCACTTATGTAGAAGCTGTCTACAGTTTCTGTAAGCAGGAATTTAAATTGGGATTAAGAAAAGTGGTGTGATGGTAAGAAGGCACTTATCTTTTACATTAAATATACTAATTTTTATACTACCTGCTAATTATATTTGTTGGAGGAAAGACAGATAAAATGGAATTCATTTCCACGAAAACGTACACTTCAGGTTGACATATAAGTTTATAACGTATAAAGAGCGTTGTAACACACTTATAAGCAGCAACCAAGTTGGTATGGATGCCAGAAGGCACTTCGATATTACTCGTACATGAAATTTCAAACTGGTAACGGAAGGCGTAACTGCTAGAAAAGAGATCTTGGGTTATTAGATTAGCGATTAAAAGGCGTAAACGTGAGAATTCTATTAAATAACACACCACGAACACGTTACTTATTACGAAAGCTAATACGATCTGATATTATTTATCTATCTAAAATGTAACCCACTTGATTAGAGAATTGTGAATTCGGCAGACCTACTATGATCCTAATATATTTTACCACGTTCTGCACAAGTAAAATAAGAAAACGTCAGAGCACACACACGTATAAACCATCTTAAGGCTATAAATATAAATTGTCTCAGAATTTAGAAATCAATTAATGATTGTGTCTCAAAAGTGCAGGAACAGAACCTTCAAATAAGCAGTAAACGCCTTCGTCTTCATCCCCACAAATTCATAATTGATATGGATTCTAATAATTACCATTGAACGCTACATAATTTGTCATATAATATAAAGTTGTTTTAGAGATATACATAGAAACTGACATCTATCAGTGTATTAATATCCTTCGTATCATACGAAATCTGCTCTCTCCTGCTCTGCCTTGGCACCCCATTTTATCCCTACATCTAACATTCCTCCTCATTATTCTGTTTTGAAGATTTCTTAACAAAAATATAACCAGTCGTACTTTGTTCACAAAACTGAAAGTCTTAATACGATTAGCGAAGTCTTCTGACGTAGAAACGCCTTAGAGCACGTTGGTATGCCTAATCAGGAGGCAGCAACCCGCAACAACGAGACCGGCTGTCCCTCATGTAACCTACACAGCGCATACCACACAACACAAGGCCGACGAACCTCTCCCGTCACAAACTTCTCCACAATAGATTAACCCTTGCGTCTTATACAACCAGCCACACCCTCAAGTTAATTGCATTGCATACCTAACAAGGGTGCGCTGATCGCGCTCCTGGTTTCCAAAGGAAATCAACCTCTTCCGCTCGCTTCAGCCTTGGCCCGCCCCACGCAGAAACAGTTGGGCATGGCGGGTAACGAACATGTGTACTGGATTTCAAGAACCACATTAAACAATAATGCGATTCCCCAAAAAATAATCAACGAATGTAAGTTGCATGCAGTGTACCTCAGTATTATTTTCCAATCTTAGGGCAGTTGATGTCGAACTATCGCAGTCAACACTTAATTTACTAACCTTTGCAGTCAGGAAATGTCGCTGGAATTAATGAGAAACAGAGTTCCTTTGGGTGGCACAAATCTGCCTCTTTCCGATTACAAGATTTCAAATTTAAGTCTGTTGTTGGTTCCAATGACGTACTGATTTTCCTTCTATGTTTTCAGAGGAAAGCGTGGACTGAGGGGAACAAGTCAGAAAGTCAATACATTTTGAAACTGAAGGTTGTACGTCTTCGTGAAACCCAGTGGTCCTACTACTGGTCTTCACAACCTGTTTCTATAAGATGTCTTAATATTAAGCTGTCTGTCCTTCCATCAATACCTAGGCTTCTCAAGTGGGTGTCTCCCTACAGGTTACCCAAATAAAGTGATGTCTTCTTACCATTATCTAAAAATTTTAGAATGAAATTAAAATGTTGTTTGGATTACGCATGTACTTCATACGTTCTACATACCCTGTCCATCGTAACCTCCTTCACTTGATCACCTTTCAGCTCTCCGATGCCAGGTTATGTTCCGTCGGGTCCAAAAATTCTAGCCACCGAAGTTCACAGGCCTATCTAACAGCTTTGGAGTGACTTACAACTGTTGGTTTACACAATAATACTGATACATCTTCCGTCATTTCTGTCGAAAGTCATTTCTCCTCTTAAATATTACTATTAAACATGGCTGAAATGCAAGTGTTCATTTTATTAGTATATTTGTCGGCATAAAGTATATGCGAAACCTTGTGGATTCCTTTATACCCCGTCAAGATCACTCAATCATCGCCCATTCTACAATCCGCGTTGCTTTCCTTCAGGGAACGCGATGTTTAGGGGCTGGAAGAACGTTACGATGCTGCTATATTCATGACAAGCATTGAAAACCGATCAGCCTACTTATTCCCCCACCTTACCGACACGTGTGAAGGGTCGGAAACCAAGGGTCCGCGGGTAACTCAACGCTACACATAAATCCACTTGATTCGCAAGAAAATTGACTTCGTCTGAGCAGAAGTACATTGTAAGGGACCAATTCAGTAAGTCTCCCTCTCTTCAACTCCTAAAGCAACCCTCTTACTTTCCCTTTAAGGCACAGACGTCCCTTCTGATTCTTCGCCTCGCTTTTTATCTCATATACAAGAATGCCCTCTTCCCAGATTTGGTGTTTATACTGACATATCAAGACGTCAACGTTACGGGGGAGGAGGGGGGGTTGTGTGTAGCCCAACCGACAGTTTGGTGGCTGAATGCAGAGGCGGGATGGAGGATATTTCATCTGTAATTTGTAGCCTTTACGCCTACACAGAATCCCTTCTTGCAGAAACGTACCGACTGAAAGTGAAATGTTTATTGCACGAAACGTTATACAGTGGATTCCTCTTAGTATAGGCATACACTCTTTGACATTCTCTTATTTTTTATCTCTCTGGCGTCCGGAAACACAGGATGTACAACTCTACGCTATAGGGTACGTGTTTATTATTTAAACCGTTATGTCCAGAACAGAGACGCGTAACGCAAATACTCGTTAACAACTTCGTTCCTTAAGAAGAATGCCAGATGTAACTTCAGTGTCAGAAGACGACACCATTAATTAGAATAAAAAATGTAATACATTCAAAAGCACAATAACACGTAATTTACATAGCATTTTACTTATGAATCAAATGAAAAACTATTAGGAGCCTAAACAGTTAGGTACAGGTAATTAGACCTTAAGGTTTCACACAATAAAATAAATTTCTTTATCAGCTGATTGACAGTTGGTTTCTCGAGAAGGACGCTGCATTATCGAGTTTGTTATGGGACATATAAGTTCTGCTGTGGTATTCTAAATAAATCCGCAAGTTCATTACGAAGCAGAAGAGGGATCCTGTTCGCGTGTAGCTACTAGCTCGATCAAAATTCGCTCACGCCCTTCGAAGGATTACATGCCAGTCCCTTTAGAAAGAAAATTCAAAGAATCGAGTTGTGGTAAGGGACTCTTTGCAGTTCTAGAGAATGAACAGACGTATTCGTTACCCTTGGCAGAAACACCCTCGCATCGCACCACAACTTTCTCCAACTCAATCAAACGAAATGCGTGTACCCTAACATGATACAGCCACATCGTAGTTTGCTCGCACTCTTTCTATCCATCGCCCCTGTTCCGTCAGCTGCAGGGAAGTGGGATCTCAGAAGAGAGGCTACGACTCAAGCAAGAATTGCACGGAAGTGGCTAACAACAATTTCCTGCAAGAAC